TGCAGGCTCCTCTTTGCGGGCCCTGCAGGCTCCTCATTTATCGGTCCGCTCTGGTCCCTCTGAGCTGCCAGCGGGGCTCCGTGCTGACTCCTGCCGGAGAATAAACGCCATTACCGGGGCAGTCAGGACCAGCTCAATCCGCGGGGCCCCGGGCAGGCTCCTGAGAGTGGCCCCTGATGGCCCCCAGACTGTGGTGCAGTGCCGTGCCCAGGTCTACAGAAAGCCCAGATGGCTCCTCCTGGTTCCGGTCCCAGCGGTCCGGTCCGGTCCGGAGCGTAGCGGAGCTTCCAGCTGCTGCCGCTGCGGTCAGGCAGGAACAGCTGCGCTCTCTGCTGCCCCCTGCTGGCTGCGCTGGGGAGGGGCTGTCAGAGGAACCGCAGGGTTCTGAGGTTCTGGGGCCCACTGAGTTCATCCAAAGTTCTTCTTTTTTAAATGTTGTGGCGGTTGGCAAACAACAATAGATGCATTTCCGCCATCTGCTGGTGTGGAGCAGAATGACACCCAGGAATTCAATCTGTTATAGAAATGTTTTATTTTCAGACATTAAAATATTATCCTGTAAATGTTACTTTCTGAAAAACTTCTAAATAATTCTATTTAACTTTTACTTAAATTTTGAATGAATTGCCGTCCTCATATTTCTTACATGACATGGTCAATAGTATCATCTCCCCCAGTGTTCCCATTGAGCGTTCCTGTTCCCCCAGTATAAACCAGTCTGACCAAACCTCTTCTAGTTCCCATTTCTCCATTTTTCTGTTGAATTTTATTAAATCCAACGCCCTTCTTTGCTTTTGCCATTTATACTTCATTTAACATGTTAACTTCAGATTTACTGAAATGAATAATTCAATCCTTTCCTGTATCTCCATTCTGCTGCTATCCAAACATTTATTATCAATCCCATCATATTTATCGTCCAGCTTTCTGACTGATTCTACTGATGAACTAGAATCTGATGTGAACGGCTTCCATAGCTGCTCATTTTAACACTGAATTCTATTAGATTATTTCTATTTAAAGTTGTTTTCATCAGATCCTCCTGATGTTCAGGCTCTCACAGCTTCCTGTGTTGTTGTGCAGAGCAGTGAGGCGCCGCCTTTGGCTGCAGGATGAACGGCAGCAGCAGCGTCTCTGCGGCCCAAAGTGTGCGGATCAAAGCCGAAGCAGGTAACGGAGCCGGGCGGGGGGGGGCGGGCTGAGCCGGGCGTGGCGGCGCCGTGACGCTCTTCTCCTTGTTTAGATGAGTGGACTAAGGATGACTGCCTGACCCTGCTGGAGCGGATCCGCAGCCTGTTGCCGGACGGAGACGCCATGAAGTATAAAACCACAGAGTCGCACTTCGACTGGGACAAGGTCCGCTTCGGCAGCTTCACCGGGGACATGTGCCGCCAGAAGTGGCTGAAGGTGTCCTCTGAGGTACCTCCAGAACCCGCTCCGCCCTCCGCTCAGCCTCTGGGTCTTTGCTCCTCACGCCTTCTCTGTGTTTCAGGTGCGAAAGTATCGAACGATGACGGAGCTCCTCGTGGACGCCATGGAGCTGGTGAAGAACCCGTACAAAGGCAAGAAGCTGAAGGTGAGTGGGCTCCTCAGCATGCAGACTGAACCCAGAGCGGGCGGAACGGGGCGGAGCCTGATGTCCCTCTGCTGTCCAGACCCACCCAGACTTCCCCAAGAAGCCGCTGACGCCCTACTTCCGCTTCTTCATGGAGAAACGGGCCAAATACGCCAAGATCCACCCCGAGATGAGCAACCTGGACCTGACCAAGATCCTCTCCAAGAAGTACAAGGAGCTGCCCGAAAAGAAAAAGGTTTGGACCGGAACCAGAACTCACCTGGTTCCTCTCTGACCCGTTCCCTTTCTGTTCAGCTTCCTGT